ATGCTGATTAGATCTTTCTTCCCTCAATACATTCCTTCCATTGAAAGGATATAGCATGACTGACCAGACTGCAACTTTGAACTTGATAAAATCTTACTTATCTGGAAACCTTGATTATAATTTCATTATGATTTGGTATTCATTCATTCAACAAATAATGACTAAGTACCACTTAGTTTGTAATGACTAAACAAGCAAATAATCAAATGCTAGGCACTAGGGGGAAATAAACATTGGAAGAAAGACTGAAAACCAAGACAGAGCCAATGGAGATTAAAGTCATAAACAAATAGTAACTATGAAATTGGTGTAAAAATCAAAAGTATAAACATGGCATTAAAGCAACAAAGAGGAGCATATAATTTGGCTTCTGTAGTTGAGAAAGGCCTTTTTAAGGAAGGTACAGTGTCTTAGAAGATAAGCCAAATGGAGGGAAAATCATTCTCAGCGAAAGAAATAGTGTGCAAAAGCAGTACGGAAGAGAATACTTTGTATACAGACTGTAGAATTGTAGATGAGGACTCTGGAAATGTAGATGAGACTTTAAAGAAAAAGATCTTCACTGTCCAGGGTAAGAAGTTTGGGCTTTGCTCAGTAGGAATAAGAAAAACTTTTAATATTAAGCAGCAGCATAGCATAATCAAAGGAACACTTCAAAAAACACACTTTCCTAGCAGTGTGGCTACGTTAAAGGAGGCAAGACTATAGCAGAGAGATCAGTGAACAGTGCAAATAAAAAATAGAAGTGGGAATGCAGTGGCAGTGGGAAAAGAGATTAACGGGTAAAATAGAATAAAGGGTAGGACTTGCAGAGGGAGGAGTAGTAATCTCTGGCTGAGTGAGATTCTGTATTGTGTTCCTGATAGCAACTGGCACTTTGTAAAACAAACACAAAACCAACCACCTGAATTAGGTTTTAGAGAAGCTAATACATATTTCTTCACCCAAGCGGGGGATGAGAGAAATGGAAAGTGAGTCAGTAGTAATGTGCCTAAAAATGATTGATCAATCCTGGCACCATTTTAATTTGAATGAGTAGCTTTACATTTATAACAATCATTAACCAGTCCATATTTTATTTTAAAACTTTTTCATAAATATCCTAACAGGGATACATTCTTAGAGAATCTCAGAAGTTAGTTTCAGAGGCAGCAAAATAACTAAATAAGTAGAAACACGACCTATTGAGGACCCAGAAAGAAGGAACCTAGTCGGGGTAAATTTTACTGATATATCACAAAAGCGAAAAGCGGTAGTAGATGAGAGACCTATGGTTCCATCCATAGGGACGATCAAAAGACATTTAAAAAAAACAGGTATAGAATAGTTCTAGTGCATATCCATTAGTGTCTTTCAGGATTTCAATACCAAAGAAATTGAAGAGCTATACCCAATGATTCCATAAATTGATTCCTATCCAAGTAGTACACACCAACTTCAGTTAACTGAATGATTGGATCTACAAATTAGGACTTATTTCACAATATTTAGCTTTCCCATCTAAGTCCCACTGTTCAACCTTCTTGGGTAATTAATACTGATTTTCTGCTTTTTCTTACCACCTATCCATAATATAAAATTCAAATAATTTATACATTTGGGATACTTAAGTCCTCTGTTCTATATTTTAAAATGTTGAGTTGAACATTTTGCATTTAAAACACTTTTTTAAAAAAATCAAATTACAATATTCTGAGTGATTTAGTTGGCTTCAGAGAGAAAAATAAGGCATACATAATATATAGCACCCATTCCTACAACTATTAACTATAATACAAATTATGAAATTGATATAAATTTTCACGACCACCACCCCCAAAAAAATGTTCTCAGTGTTGCTACTGTTGTCAGTACTGGTTTTCCAGCTTCCTTCTCTCTGTGAATAGTATAAGAAACCTGCCATTTTCACTAGAAACATTAAAACTCAAGTGACACAACAATTAAAGTTTTAATTTTGTAGTTTAACTTTAAAGTTTCACACTACTCCACCTCTTCATCCCTCTACAACTTTCAGTTTGAAAGAAAGAGGAGAGATGAACCTCGGGATTGTTAAAAAGTAAAAATTAAACGTATAATGTTGTTACTTGAGCTCCAAAAGTGTTGTTGTTTGTAAAATTGACAAGGTCCTTTAATTTTTAATGCTTCCCCAAGTGCCTGTCAATTATATAAAGCTGTGCATAACGAATGGTATAAAATGCTGTTCCAAAGTCTTTAAGTTTTATTTTTTAGTGAATATATTTATTCCATGTACATTATGTTAAAAATGCTAGAATAAAAAAAATAGAGCTACTTTTTCCAACTTATTAATCCTTATCTTTATCTAGGATTTTCGCATTGTTGATGTTACTTTTCTTTAATCTGTTCTAATATTTTACCTTATACGTTCTTTATAGCGTTCCTATATAATCTTTATCCAGACCTATTCACAAAGTATAGTACAGATAGGGCAGCACAAGCTGCAGATGCCTTTGTTGGTAGTATAATAAAGAACTTTTATCCAGGTTATGGGAGAATTAAGGGGATGATGGAGTTAGTGCAAATTCCAATTAATTAAGGGTTTAAAAACAAATTATTTAGCTTCAAATAATCTCTCCAGGATTCCCCTCTCTCACTTTCTCAAGACCCTCAAGTTAATCAAAAGGGGTTTTAAGGTACAAGCTACTTACCAAATTATCTGAGAGAAAACTTTTCTACTATTTCTAAGAGTTAAGAAATAATTTGGCTCTTTCTTTAATAAAATCAAAATAGCTTTGTTTTCTGCAAAGATTATGTTGTCAGGGTAGTATATTCTTTGTAAGTGTAAATGTATAATATTATGAGTTGATTTATTCTTGTTTTAAGTTGTTACATAAACATATTTTAAAAATTCCAAATTTCCACTTAATATAACTTTTACTATATTTTCAATAGCTACTTATATTTTGCATGCTATATGTAAATTAGGATTGAAGAAGTTTCAAATCATCTAATTGTATGTATAGTTGACCCTTGAACAACACAGGTGTTGAGGAGCCTACTGTCTATGCAGTCAAATCTGCATATAACTTTGGACTCCCCAAAAACTTAACTACTAATAGCCTACTGTTGACCAGAATCCTTTCCGATGACATAAAGTTGATGTAACACATTTTTTAATTGTATGTACCACATACTGTATTATTTTTTTTAAGATTTTATTTATTTGAGAGAGAGAAAGAGCATGAGCAGGGGGTAGGAGGCAGAGGGAGAAGAAGCAGAGCCCCCACTGAGCAGGGAGCCCCATGTGGGCCTCCATGTGGGCCTCGATCCCAGGACCCCAGGATTATGACCTGAGTTGAAGCAGATGCTTAACTGACTGAGCCACCCAGGCGCCGCATACATAGTATTCTTACAACAAAGTAAGCTAGAGAAAAGAAAATGTTATTAATAAAATCATAAGGAAGAGGGAAGCTGGGTGGCTCACTCATTTAAGTGTCTGCCTTCGGCTCAGGTCATGGTCCCAGGGTCCTGAGATCAAGTCTTACATTGGCTTCCTGCTTAGCAGGGAGTTTGCTTCTCCCTCTCACTCTCTCAGTGCTCTCTCTCTCTCTCAAATCTTTAAAAAAAAAAAAAAAAAAAAAAAAAGAATCATAAGGAAGATAAAATGCATTTGCAGTACTGTGCTGTAAAAAAATCCATGTACAAGTGGACCTGCACAGTTCTGGGCCATTCACTCCTGTGTTGTACAAGGGTCAACTGCATACGTATGCTATATAAAACACAGAGAGGGAGGGAAGAAAGACACAAAGAGAAAAAGCAGACTTACTTTTTCTTCTGTGTTGTACAAGAAAACCTGAAAAATGTTTCTTTTCTTAAATTGAAAATATAAAGTAAGTTTTATGGGAAATCACTTGTTTTAATAAAAGGTAAAATACTGGTATATGAACCACAAGGTGGTGCTATAATTCCATGCTGGTACAGATATTCTAGAAGTTAACAGATTTTTCTTTTATAACTGTTAATATCTTGATTTTTATATTTTTTATAATGAAAAAAAACCTAAGTGGGTTCATTAATTCTAGAAATATTTACTGAAATTCTACTAAATTTAAGCTTGTATGCTAACTTTAAAAATTCATAAATTTTAAAGTCTAATGAGTAAACGTGTTACAATACTAAAAATGCCTTATTTCTACACAGAATTTAACATCAACTTTTAATGTTAGTTTCATGTGACAATATCAAATTACACATAGAATATAAACAGATAATAAAATACAATCAGATGATCTAAATAATAATAAAAAAGAAAAAAAACCTTTTTTCCTTCCAAATAATGGAATCAATTTTCTTAAAGATTACCCAGGGTTATTATTATATTTTTCATGTATAAAGTTAAAAAAAGATCATTTGTCTAGTAACATATCTAGTAATTGAAAGTGAATTTCATTTTTCTCTTGATTTAACTTCATCTAAGACCTTTCTCTCTCTTCTAAAATATGTAACTTCCCATCACTTAAAAGAAAACAAAAACCATACTGTGTATCTTGTAATATTGGATGGCCACCATCTGTGTCTGTGCTGCTGGTCTTAAAATGTGTTATGGAATAGAGCACTAAAATACTCAACACATTTTTCATGGTGAACTTCCTGACCTGTTGCTAAATACAAAAAGAAAATCATACCCTCACTCTTTTCAGTGTTAACTAAAAATGTATTACTCCTTTCTTATTAAACATAAAATTGTATTTTTATTTAATTTTCAATGAGCATTTCTGCCTTTTCATTACAACATATTAGTCAGTACAGATGGCAAGACGGTGTGCATGAGAGCCTCCTGGGTACAATACACAAGTCCCAGTTGGAATGTTTCCAACAGGATGTAAACCATGGTCCACAAGTCTGTACTTTAAAAAACATATTACTTAGCACACTGCCAACAAATGTCAACACAAAAATACAGTGCTGTAATGACTTCACTCTGTAAAAGAAATGTACTGGCACATAAGTTTTCCTTAAAAAAGTAAAACAGAGTAAAGAAGTGTAATCATAGCATAAAAATAAGTATTTATTCAATATTGAAAAAACTCATATACCAAATGGAATTCAAATTCTTCATAAAAATATTGCAGGATATTAAAATTTATAGAGAATTCTTAAAATATACAACATGTACAGTAGCCAAAGGCCTACTAGAGAAGTTCACGCAGAAAATTCTATAACTGGTGATTTGGACATTTCAGTAACTCTGCGGTTTCTTCAAACCTGCAATACAACAAATAATATTAAGTAAAAAAAAAAAAGTTCATAATGAGGCATAGGATTTAAATGGCTGAAATTATGTTTTTGAACCTAAAATAAATTTCAGTATTTTTCTTATCTATAGGTATAAATAATAACTTAAGTAGATACTATGGCCAGAGGGGAGAAATAGCAACCAAAGTCAATTATGAGTCTTTAATTCTTAGCGTGTAAGTTATTTTAATAACTATGAAATTTCAAAACAATATAGTTCATTAAAGTAGTAGCCTGCATATTACTTACGCAAGTTCATTTCATATTTCCTTTTCATTGCTCTTTAATCATTTGTCGTTTCACATTTGTACAAGATACAAGTATCATTTTTAGTAGTGCTTTACCAATAACTGTCTGAAAGACTGGCAATATTTTAATAATACTTAAAATGTCTCCAAACCATCCACCGACATATATTATTTTGCTAAATCAGTAATCAAAAGTAGATAATACTCTTGATTAACTTTCAACCAAAAATATCTCTGCACTGTTTAATCCCACAATTAATTCCATTAACAATGTTTTACATCACTTGTTGGAAACCAAAACAGTGACTCATCTCACAAACACTTAACTGTAGGTGGATTTATTATCCACTAGAGTCCTGAAGGAAATTCCACACCTGATTGAGAGACCTTTAAGGTTTAAAACACATATGCACTTTCTATATATACTGTAATCCAATACAATTCCCTATAGAGAAATGAATTTCTGTTGCCCCTTTCTGTTACTTACATTTTTTTCATCCTTTCCATTTTCTGGATTGTTGTTTCCTTTAATTTAAAAAGCAACAAATTTAGGTGATTTCTCAAAGTAAACCATCATCAAAGATGGACCTTGAACATGTAAAACACACTCTAAAACACTGCATTAAGCACTATTTACTTACCATAAAGAATTTTTACGAGAGATTAAGATTTATAGTTTTGCTATTTTTCTTGCCAATGGCATCTCCAACTAAATCTAATGCTTGCTTGTTCTCCTGACCTTAGAAAGGAAATCATCTAAACAGTTGCCAGTTTTTCTTACCTCTGAATTCTCTTTCAAACCACAGTAACTACCAGTTGAGGTTCTGGGAGTTGAATCTGATGACACTGTACTATAGCCAGAGGATAGAGGAATACTTGTTTGCCTCTCATCTTTGCTTTTTCTGTCTGTGGAGAAATTCATTTTTAGGTTATCTTCCTTTCACAGTGGAGTCATATCTAAAAATTTTATGTATAAATTGAAGAAAAACAGATATTTTACTATGAAATGGCTACAGGTATAGATCCAGATAAATTTTTATTCTTTTAAGATAACGACCTAGACATAGACATCTAGATGTTAAAAGTAGGCCAGTAAAAATGACAAAAGGTACTATTACCTTTATCACAGCAATCAATTGAATAAATAGACAAGTTCGTAAGTTTTAAGTATAAGCTACTGACTCAGGTATATTCCTTTCTTAAAGTGGTGGTAACTATTACTAACACTGACTATACTTTTTAAAAATCAAGAAACATTCTATCCTAAGTTAAAGTGTATGGAAAAAACAACGATTAAAATTCAGAGTTTACCGATTTCTTTTTTCCTAAAGAATTGAAAAAACTTCCAGTTCCAGTATGCTGATACCATTCATTCAACAAAATGATGGCAAATTTTTCCTACAACTCAATCAATTATAAACATCACAGATAAAACATGCTGCTATTAAATCATGCCCTATCTAGTAATTAACAATTACTGAACTGTAATTGAACACAAAATTTCATAAAAAATGAACATCATATGAGGCCACTTCATTACCGTGATGAAACAAAATAAGACCACCGTCATGTATGAATATGGACAGGGACACCATGTAAGCAGTAAACACACAAATGACCAGCTCTCCCAACTAACATGAGTGCTTCTTCTTTTCCACTGAAAATTTCAACCCCCTTTTCATTCTTATCGGTCATCAAACTGTTCCTGCTTCCTGATAGCACCCAAACTAGAATAACCATCACTTCTTTAATAAACTGTCTCCAAAATCACCCAACATAAACCCAATCCTTACAATAAAAGCCTCTTCTCACTGATTTTTTACCAAGACACAGAGATGCCTTACAGGCCCCCATGGAAACACATTTCTGATAAAAGGAAAAGAAATCACGGACTTCACAAAAACCATTCCCAACTTAATACAGTCTTAAAGTCAGGTTGGTGAATTACTGCTCTCAACTTCCAAGTGAGATCAAACTCTGCTTCCATGTAGCATGTATATGTAAGGTGCAAAGTGTAAGAATTTATATACAAACTTGACTCTTTTAATTGATCACAGTTGGATAAACTCTGAGACCAGACATTTACCTTGTTCATAATCTATAAACCCATTTCAGATGGTAGCCTGTCTGCTCATCAGTCTAAGTCCTAGCACAGTGGCTTAAACTTGTATATGTGTTAGCTAAATGGGTTAAAGGTATGTTCTGTAATAATGTTAATAAAATTATAACCATGAAAATGCAAAAGCAAAGTTGGAAAAGGCAAGTTTTGTTTTGTTTTTTAAGATTTTATTTATTGTCAGAGAAAGAGAGAGAGCACAAGCAAGGAGAGCGGCAGCAATAGAGAGAAGCAGGCTCCCTGCTGAGCAAGGAGCCCCATGCAAGATTTGATCCCAGGATCCTGGGATCATGACCTGAGCCAAAGGTAGATGCTTAACAGACTGAGCCACCCAGGCATCCCAGGAAAAGGCAAGGTTTTGCAAATAGCAGGCATTCAATATTCTTTCACTATATAAAAAATTGAGCTCCATTATATACAGATATTGGATAGAAATACAGGCCTAATTTCTGTCTGCTAGACAGAACACAAGGTAAGATCTTAATCTCAAGGATCTCAGAGTTAAGCTTTAGAATTTGTTGAATAAATGAATGAATGATAAATGCAAAGAGGAAACATTTTACCAATCTGAAATGTGTAGTGTAATAAATTTAGTGCCCGAACCACTATGTCATGTAAGATATGTAAGCTGGCTTTTTTAGCAATCCTAGGCTTCAGTACTCTGTAAGTTCAAAACTGTCTTTGTTTAGGGGTTCTGCAGTTTCTAAAAAATAAGGCTTTGGAGTATTAAAATAGTCAAATACCTATATAAGTCATCATCCTGAAAACTCCTTATCATACCACCAATACCACTGCCATAATATTAGAACTTACCAGGATTCAGAATATCCATGTCATTACTAGATTCATAGTCTTCATTTGTTTCACTAAAGTCTATATATTCATTATTCTGGAAGAATACAGATTAGTATTTAGAATAAAATGAAAAGAAAAATGTACTCGTTTTATATTCTTATTGCTAAGCATAAATATAAAGATGACATGATGAATGTTTAAACATTTTTAATTGAACCAGAAATTGAAATCCTAAGTAAATAAAAAAACAAATTTCTTAGATCTGACAAGGCCATGGCAAATTTGGTTAACCGTTTCTATGAAATTTATAATTTGATCAAAGTAAATGAGTGAAAACAGGAAGTCATGATTTTAATTTTTCCTGTCCATCTTTTCTTTTCCCTATAAAAATAGGCCATTTGTGCTATTAAAGAATATAACTTCAAGCTTCTCATAAAAATCAAACATTATCAGGCGCCTGAGTGGCTCAGTCAGTTGAGCGTCTGCCTTCAGCTCAGGTCATGATCCCAGGGTCCTGGGATCGGGTCCCGCATCGGGTTCAAGGCTCAGCAGGGAGTCTGCTTCTCCCTCTACCCTGCCCAGCCCTGATTTGTGTGTGCGTGTGCTCTCTCTCACAAAAATAAATAAATAAAACCTTAAAAAAAAAAAAAAATCAAACATTATCTTACCTTATTTTAAATGTTCAGAACTGTTCAAGTATTAACAGCTCTAAAAGCTGAACCTAGAGAGTTTTGCCAGGTTATCTTAGTTGATAAAGAGAAAAACAATAACCACAACAGCAATAAAATAGGCTGGACCTAAATAGGACCTCATTTCAACTAAACATTTTCCCACTACCTTAATATTATCTTAATTAGCTTTTCTAAAAGAATATACACTTAACAATGAATGAAAACTTGATTGTATCTGAGATATCCTATAAATGTTAAGGAAAGATAATACCTTTTTAGACAAAAGCATTTCTGTTTCAAGAAGAGTGACACGACTTAGAAGATTAGTCCACGTTTTTTCATTTACCATCACTCTTCCTTTCATTTTTTCTTCCAAAGAGTCTAATCTACTCTCTACCAAAGTCAGTTTCTGAAGCTTTTCTTGGCATTGAGCAAGCATAGTCTGTAGTGCAGTAATCTCAGGATTAATTTTAATATCCTAAAATGAATAGAGAGGTTAAAAATTATATTACACGAACTGAAATTCCTTTAAAACTCAATGTATCCCCACTTTCACTGCACTGTGTTATTTCAGTAGTTAACAACAGGCAGTATACCGTGAGAGTTGAGTGTGATCTGTAGAAGCAGAATGCTTGGACCCTAAAACTACCTCATCTGAGGTGTATGACCTTGGTGTCTCAATTTCCTTATATATTAAAAAAACAAACAAAAAAACCCCCAAAAAAACCCAGTACCTACTTTATGCGGTTCTTATGAGGATTAATTTGCATAAAGCTCTTAGAACAACACCTGGTGGTAAGAGAAAACTGTCACTAACTTTTTTGTAATAGCCCCTAGCACAAAGCTAAGAGGGAGTGACAAAGAAATGACAGTGCATTGAGACTGTTCAGTTTGCTATAAAAAGAAAATAACCTTCATGACCACATGGTAGTTTTTATAAGGGATAACTGTATACTGTGATGTACAGAAGTTACAAGAAACAGAAGAAAGACAGAAAATGTTTAGCAGGAGCAGTACAGACTAGACACTCTAATAGGGTCCGTGGCAATAAAGTAATAGAAAAAGTATTCTAAGAGTGAGAAAGGGATGGCAAGGGCCCAAAAAGGAAAATAAAATGGCAGGAATGTAGTTTTTCCATTCATTAATGAAGGGAATAGAGAGTAGAGAACCCTGACTGTACAAGGAAGTGTATCTCCATCTCTCACCAGACTGTAAATTCCCTGAAGCAAAGTACTATCTCTTATCCATCTTTTTCTTACCCATAACACCTGGCCCAGTACCGTAAACATAAGCAGCAAATAATATCCATTGAATCCTATACAGTACACTTATTTATTCTTAAATAATGGTAACAAAGGTATTGTATTATGATAAATAATTCAAAAGGCTAGAGACATTCCAAAGTTTAGATGCTGAAGTAATCATGTACATCAAAGAAATACTGGCATCTGTTAAAGAAGTCCAAAATTCTTACTTGTTGTTCAGACTTGATTTCAGGGAACTTTATTTCAGGAATCTTTATTTCAGTCGTCTTTAAGTCACACGCATCAAATGTTCCACTAACATCTGTTACGGTACTTATCGTATCTTCAGGAATGTTAACACCATCTTCGTTATACAGGTGACGGATCACCACAGCTTTTTTCTGCATAGAGAGAAATATGTCAGAGCTGCCTAATGGTTTCCTCATATAACTATTTTAAATATAGACATAGTAACTTTGCAGAAGAAATATCCATCTTCCCTTTAAGATTTACCAAAGTTTAAATAACATATTAAGGTATATATCAAACACTATTGATTAAACTGTTATTACTATTACTAATATTTTCTGTGATGAAATTGTTGTTCTGATTTTTAAAGCATTCTTATGTACTAGAAAAATTGAAATACCTATGCAATGATGTCTGGGATTTGATTCCTATTGTTTCAGATTTGGGGGGAAAGATGCTAGAAAAGTGGTTACAATACAGATGAAACAAGATTAAGAAGGGGTTGATACACTGCTGATGGGAACAGATACGTTTTTTTTAAAGATTATTTATTTATTTATTTATTTGACAGAGAGAGAGAGAGAGAGCACAAGCAGGGGGAGCAGCAGACAGGGGGAGAAGCAGTCTCCCCGCTGAGCAGGAAGCCCGATGCGGGGCTCGATCCCAGAACCCTGGAATCATGCCCCGAGCCCAAGGCAGATGCTTAACCAACTGAGCCACCCAGGCACCCCGGGAATGAGTACTTTTACAAATGTTTGGAACATTTCATAATAGGTTGCCACATAATTAACATATAATCAAGAACTGGCTCTGTGAGGAGGACCCATTACAATTTTTTTTCTAATAAAAAAGCCAGAAAATATTAGACCTTCAGCTAATAATTCAAACTTAATAATAACAAAGGGAAAGTCCTAAGAGTAAGGCATGAGGTCAAACCATGCATTCACACAAGACTCTTCTCTGCCTACTTCCTTTACTATAGACAGACTGCATATGCACTATAAATATGTCATATAATGTAAGATAGAATTCACAAATCACACTCTATAGAAGGTACTGGGAAAAGAGACCATTGGCTTTAGTATTGACTCAATCTCTGCCTATAAAGTACTGATTCCAACTTTTCTAAGTTGGAAAGGCTATTTATTTCCAACTTTTCTAAGTTGGAATACTTTATTTATTTTTTAAGATTTTATTTATTTACTTGACAGAGAGACAGTGAGAGAGGGAACACAAGCAGGGGGAGGGGAGAGGGAGAAGCAGGCTTCCCGCGGAGCAGGGAGCCCAATGCAGGGCTCGATCCCAGGACCCTGAGATCATGACCCAAGCCGAAGGCAGTTTCTTAACTGAGCCACCCAGGCGCCCCATAAGTTGGGATACTTTTAAAAGTCACTCAAATTTCTGAAAAGATCTGGTGTCATTGATTAAATTTTGATTAATAACAAAGAATACTTGTTTTAAGAAAACTAAAAACAAGTTTAGGGTGCCTGGGTGGCTCAGTCCTTAAGTGCCTGCCTTCGGCTCAGGTCATGATCTCAGGGTCCTGGGATCGAGTCCCACGTCGGGTTCCCTGCTCAGTGGGCAGTCTGCTGCTCCTTCTATCCCTCCCCCCTCCCACCCCCTCTCTCTCTCTCATTCTCTCTTTCTCTCTCTCAGATAAATAAAAAATCTTAAAAAAGTAAAAAGTTTAATGCCTTGAAATTTTGCACCTTATTAGGACAATTTAGATTATTACTCAGCACCAAAACTGAAATAGAAGATTGAAAAATATATTTAGCATATAAATAATATTTAGTTATACTAGTTATAATAATTATTATAACTAATATAATACAGTATATTATAATATATATCATACAACTAATATATTATATTAGTTATAATAATAGCTCATATTTAGTAAGTGCTTACAATGCCTGTGCTAAGCACAGGAAGGTTACAAAAAAGCAGTATAAGAAAATTCCTGTTTATATAAATTCGAGTTGGGGAAGGATACTGTATATAAACCACTTAGAAATTAGAAAATAAAATTGTGTAAAACTAACAAGTTAGGTAAGTTAGAGATTCAAGTGTACAAGAAGTATGGGCACTTATTCAGAAACCATGTATCTTTTAATTCCTTTTCTTATTGCTCTTATTACCTGTAGCAAAACAGTTATATTAAAAAAAAAGTAATTAACATTTCCCCTTCAGTAAAATGTTAACTTTTTTATAAGCGCATAAAAGTATCTCTTTAATAGATTCCATTAATACAACTCATGCAGTTTGGACTGGGGAGAAATAGTTCTCTAGATTTTACTTCAGCCAGAAACTATTCATATCTTTTATCTAATGACACCTTATTTATCTGATATGCTATCTTTTGATCTCAGAAATGGTTTGCCCAAAGTGGAACACAGCTGAAAATATACTAATTGTTATAAAGTAATATTTTGCCCTCAATGTCTCTTGGAGATAGAAACGCTATCTCTAAATGCACTGGACTCATTCAGCCACTAGTATTCCAAGGAGACAGGGTAGGTAAGATATTTATTAACAAAGAGAAAATATTCAAAAACCTACCCCAAAACCAGATTATAGGTTTAAGGACTATCAATCACTGGATAATATACCCTATCACTATAGCTAATGGAATGCTCTTCATACATTCCCATGTTTTAGAAAGACTAGATACATAATTAAGAGTACATGTCAAGACCACATAATACAGCGTTTCCAAATCACTGTGTTCTACCTGGGAAGTGAGGCAGAAGTAGGGATTAGAAACATAAAGAGAAAAATTGTTCAATTTTACATTTCTATCTTCTTATAATGTGAGGACTGTCCACCAGATAATATAGTATACATTGTTAAAAATCCTTATGCTATATCTGACTAAAATGTTTTACTAGCTACTAGTCAGAAAAGTGAAACTTGTACATTAATTAGGTAGATAATTCTTAGCACTGACACATTTTCTTACCTTTCCTGAAGTCATAAACCTGCCAGTGATGTCAATGCCAACAGGTTCTGTGGATGTTTTCTCAGTGCTTGAAGAAGGTTCTGACTTAACTGAACTGATTTTCTTTCTTTGTTGTGATGGAATCTTAAAAAAAAAAAAGTATTAAGACTTAATTTTACGTGAAAGCTGACATATTTAAATTATATAATTTAAATTTTCATATATGAAATACAACTGCCAAATGGTAAGACCCTAATGAGACATGTCTTTTGAAAACTAAAGAAGTGAGGAAAATGTGTTATGTTTGAACTGTTAGCTTAGGACTAGTAGCTCAAAGTCACAAATGTGTGAAAACAAGTGACCAGTATTTAAAAGAAACATCAGGTATATGGTTACCCAAATCTGTGAACAATGCAGTAATTGTATTTCTGTGTTAGTCTATCTAGGGTATTGACTTTATATGTTAAGATGCTGGGCCACTTGGAACAAGTTAACATCAATTAATAAAATTACCTTCTCAAGACCACTCAATTCCTTGTGCTTTTTCATCACACAATTCAAAATATCACAAACAATTTGGATTTTCCATTCTGCAAATCCACATTGGAGAAACTGCTTTTTTGTCAAGATTGGTTTATAATTAAATTGATCACGAAGAAGCTGTAAAGAGGGAATAGATCAAAATCCAAAATGATAAATGGCCACCTGCTCAGGAACGTAATAACATCTCTGAGAGGAGAAGGAGGATCATGCCAGTAGATTAAAGGCACTAAAGAGATTCATAGGAGTGGTGTGAGTCATGACCAGGTAGGAGAGGTATTCACGTAGAAAACAGCTAGGTAGGAAGTAGCAGAGAATAGATTGCCCTCTAAGGAGATGAAAAAATATAGCCAATGATCAAAAAGTTCAAACATCCTCATTGGTACTAGAAAAAATCCTTAACTTACTAGATAATAAAGAATACCATACCAGATGTCAGAAAACCATAATTTATTTAATTCTTACATGACATGATTTATTAGATAAGTCAGTAGTCCTCTGAGTTTCAATATCTCATTTGTAAATGAGAGAAATAGACTAACTAGACCAGCAATTTTCAAAGCCTATATTATAAAATCCTAGGATTTCTTAGAAGTGCTTCTTAGGTTTCCATGGAAGCTTGCTGGGGTTAGAGGCAAAGACAGGGAAGATTAAACAGACTCTATACACATAAAAGCTCCCATTTCATCAAATGTAATTCACTACTTAAAAAAAAACTGATTTGATAAATGGGTTTTACTATTTTAACAGTGAGAAAACCAGTGCTTGAGTAAAAATTAACGATAATCTGGAGGTATTCTTTAATCTTATGAGATGAAGTTCAGTATACACAGAGTACAAATGTAGATACTGGAGTAGATATAAGACATGGTCCCAGACCTCAAGGAACATAAAATCTCAAAGTTTTAGTTCCCTCTAATTAAATTAATCACAATTCTATAAACCACAAAGTACTCAAAGTCACATTTCTAACTTCTGCCAACATGCCAAATTAAACTGAAATTTGATATAAAAAGAGCAAATGGTAACCAATGACATTTTTACCAACTGCCACTTATTAGATTATAAAACATAAAGGGAGCTTAAATTATCTTGATTATAATAGGGACTGCATCTAAATGAGAAATGCATATGACAATACTGTCAACTATATGTGTTGCACATATATAAGGGGTTATTATAAAACATTACTCTTAAAAATCATCCAATGACTTCTGAAATTATTTCATAAATTCAAAAATACCTTATAGACGGTATCTATAAAGCGCAAGTCATTCTTCGCTATGAGCTCTATATTGGATTCCATCAGAAGTTCTGCTACATAAGGTGAATATGAGGTAAGGGAATAGCTAATGATGGGCAAGGATGCTGCTGTATATCCCTTTACCAAACTGTTTGGGAGAAAAAGAAAAAGATATTTAATGAGCATAATTACACAAAGTTAGATAAGAAAGGCAATATAAAATATGATGTCAATAATTTTGTAAATTAACACTCCAGCCAAATAATTAGGAGATAAAACCCTCTAGATTCCATCCCCTACTCTAACTCAGTATAGCCAAATTACTATGAAATAAGTTTATTTTCTAAAACAGTTAGCTCTTTAGTAACAGTACAGTCTATTCACCACAGTATTTGAATTTCCAAAGCTTAGCCTTATTTGATCAGTCCATTTTCTCTAAACAAATGTACCACCTTATAGTGCTTGAGTACACTTTATGGTTTTGCAAACCCTTTTTACATTACCTCATTTGCTCTTTACAATAAACCTGCGAAGGTAAAATATCATGAATTCTATGTTACAGAGGGGAAAATAGGGCTGGAAAAGGCATCTACGGTAACTGGGCTTATCAGTTTGCAATCTTCCACTTGTATCAAGTTCAGTAGAAATCTGTGTCTTAGTAGAGTATGCTAATTCCCCCAGTCTAGAAAGGTATCCCATTCTTTTCTGCCTGTTATTCACTCTTATAAATTATTTGGCAAGGGACGCCTGGGTGGCTCAGTCAGTTAAGCGTCTGCCTTTGGCTCAGGTCATGATCCCAGGGTCCTGGGATCGAGTCCCACATCAGCTTCCCTACTCAGTTGGGAGCCTGCCGCTCCCCCTGTTTGTGCTCTCTCTCTGACAAATAAATAAAATCTTTAAAAAAAAAAAAAGAACTCTCAAAATAAATAAATAAATAATTTGGCAACTCTCAAGCCTTCCAGGAATCCATCCTCAATTTTCTGATCCACACTGATCTCTTACAGAATGAGTCTCAGGGCATTCAGTGTCTGGTGCCTCATGCTCTGTCCTGTACTGTTTTCTACTTGTCTACACATATGGACCTTATTTTCTCAATGTGAAGTACCTTCACTGATTCTCCCACAACAAAGCAAGGAGGTATTTGTTCAATTAGCCAGTTATACGTGTTCAACTGACATAAAAATGCACTTACAGAAAACATTTGTTTTCCACAAAATTCAAGACATACATAAATTTCCCCATCCTCACCCCAATTTTTTTTTAAAAGGCAGAGAACAAGTATATAATGCTAGAATTACATTTTATTTAAGGACAAATATAAATTGTTTCTTCTATATTTATGGGTACAGTAATACTCTACCCAGTGAGAAAACTGCTCTGGCAACCTTGTCCATTAATTCAAAACAGGAAATGAAAACAATACTTTTGAACAGCAAAATCTGTCCATTTTATACATTCTGACTAGAAGACAGCCGGGGTCTACATTTAATACCTCTTGTTTTAATTTAAAAATCTTGATTATCTAGTTTCTAGGGACTTTGATTAGAAATAGTAATAAAACAGATATTATAAACTGGCACACTGACACAAAAGGGAGATGCTGAAAAAAGGTTAAAAATGGATAAGAAAGAATCAAAATATGTGTGGGGGGAGTGTGTATGTGGGTGAGGGGGGTAACCTGAATAAGCAGCAGCAAGTAGTGTTACTTATTTCAATAGACCCTGCAGAGTGCTATGTTGTGAAATAGTCTGAAAATTACTGTTCTTAATAATACTCTTCAGTCAGTTAGAAAATCAAATGTTTAGATTCCAAACTCAAAAGACAGGAGAATAATCGGTATATTTTCCAAGTATTCCTATCCAGAATGTATCTTAAAATGATGCTTCAAGTGGTAAGAAGAAAATGTGGCTATTCAAACTGGTTAAGTCCCAGCAAGACAAGAAAGTAGAGATGTACCTGTTGTAAGCAAGCAGGATGATTGGTACATGCTGTGGAGCACCTTCTGATTCTCACACAGAAGGCCTGGAATCGGTCATTAGAGCTCAGGTTTCTCCCACGGTCCTCACTATCCTTTCATTTTGCCATCCCTTGGGGTTACAGATCTCCCTACAGTCCATCCACACGTATATGTAAAGCACATCCCTAGAACATCCACTCTTACATGTCATGCACATTATTCCAGGATTCTCTTTTTTTACTGTTTAACCAAGTTTTACTCTACTACTTGAACATATAGCTAATCTGGACTTGTCCCTTGATGCTTACTCATTGAATAAATGTCTAGTTAGCTACTAACATGTGCCAGGCTCAATTCTAGATGTGAGGATATTGCAATGAACAAAACAAAGTACCAGTCTTCAGCTTATATTCTAGTGGGGAATACTTTCAATGAATAATCCCAGGTAAGAAGAAAAAAAAATATTAAGGGATAGAAGATGAGAAGGGTACCATATTTAGATTAGCATGAATACAGAAGAAATGCATGTTGCTACATACTACAAAGCCAGTCAGTCCTATTTGGAAAGTGAAAACTACAGTGAAAGGTTCAAGTGGGGTCTATCAAATGAATTAGCTTAATAACAATCTTTGCACATGGTGTAAGTTGTCATAAGAAGCCCATTAACTAGAATCTTCCACATCAAAAATACCATCTAACTGAATGTGAGAGGATAGCAAATTATATAATTAATGAGATCCATTATACTTTAATGAGTTAAAAAGTTGTATAGAAACCATATCTTGTACAGATGTATATTGTGGTTCTACTTCTAAAAGGTGTTTTAAACCTCAAGTTAGAATTTTTCATTGATTCATACTTATAAAAACACTCCTGTAATTCCCTGCCTTCTAAAATATTTTAATCATTTCAAGGAAAATTTTAAAACAACCCAGGTAAAATTTGTCTCTATTTAGATACACCCCCAATGTTAAATCTTACCTCAAATAATTATCAAAAAGAAAACAAATAAGTTTGATACAGAGCTTACCCAACACAATCCACCTCTTGAGGATAATTTAGTGAGCGAAGCACTTGTTCTAGGTTCCGTAAGCTTCTTTTTAAGTCACCTGTTGCCATTATTTAACATTACGTTCAGCTCCAGCTTTTGAAATAATCTAATTTTTCACCTAAAAATAAAAATCCATAAAACACTGGTTAAGTCTATTTCTGAATCTTTATTTTGTTCACATCTCTTACAGGCACTAAACATATTTATCTTATCTTAGCTATTTCTGTGCTAACTTATCTTCCCTACTGGTCCAGTACGATCGTCTATCTACAGTATATTCCCAAATATAAGATATGCTTTTCCCCCCAAATACTTCCCTTACAAAAAAAAATGTTTGCCTTATGTTCATATTCTTACAATGTGTCTCATGATATTCTCCCAAATTGTTTATTCTGAACAAAGTACCATTTGGGAAGAGAAATCAACCTGAAATAATCTCCATCAATGACTATTTTAGATGCTTATAATGGTTACATAATAAACTCAGTAAAAAAATGGAGACAAAGGAATTTATTACAGATTTAGTCATTACTTCCAGGGCTTTGACCTCATAGTTGCCAAAAAGATGCTTTGCTTAAAAAATAAAAATAGATGAGTTAAAAAAAATTTAGGATTTGGCTTGTAAAATATGGTGGATTAAGTGCATGTTATCTTTATTTCTTTTGTTTTAAACATCAGTAAAATGAAAGTAAATGATTAAAAACCATATATACTCACCAGGGCAAAATGAATTAGAGGGGATTCCACATGACAGGAGAAGTATCAACAAAAGTTTGGAAGATGGAAAGCAGATGAATAAGTGAAAACCAACCTAGCAGAGCAGAGACAGGCTAATTTTATCTGCCCATTTAAGAGGAAACAAACAGCAGCAAGATAAGTTCAGAAATGAGGGGCCCTTAATGCTTATGAAAGGCTAAGGGGTAAGACCAAGGGGGCTGAAATAAGGATGATTATTCGAAAGTCCATGTAAGGAGCTACTAAACCCTAGATTTTTACTTTCCCTCCCTCCTCACTCCCTCCCACATATTTTGTTCAGCTAGGCAACTACCTCTCTGCATCCCCAGGTTTACCAATGAGTTTTTAGATAATATCAGAGCCCAATTAATAAATTTTTAAATAAGCTGTACATCATTAAAATTTAAAACTTCTTTTCTAAAAAGACACTGTTAAAAGAATGAAAAGATAGTTCACAGACTGGGAGAGAATATTTACAAAACACATTGAATAAAAGACTTGTTCCCAAAATAGACAAAGAACTCTAATAAAAGAAAAAAAACAAAAACAAAAAACCCAGCCAATTAAGAAATAGGCAAAACATCTGAACATTCATCTCACCAAAAAAGACATACAGATTACAACAATCATATAAGATGCTCAGTATTACATATCATTAGGTGATTGCAAATTTAAAAAAAGAGAGATACCACTACAGATAATGGCTAGAATCCAAAAAACTGATTATACCAAATATATATGGGATATGGAACAACAGAAACTCTTACTTATTGCTGGAAGAAATGTAAATGGTATAATCATTTTGCAGGACAGTTTAGCAGATACAAAGCTAAACAGTCTTACCATACAATCAGCAATCATGCTAACAAGGTATGTACATATACTATCTTGCACACGAATGTTTATAGCAGCTCTATTCATATCGTCAAAAAGTGAAAGCAACCAAAATGTCCTTCAGTAGATGAATGGATGAAAAAAATCGTGGTACATACATACAACAGGATATTTAGTCAGCAACAAGAAAATGAGCAGCAACAAAAAGACATGGATGGACCTTATTGCATCTTCCTAAGTGAAAGAAACCAGTCTGAAAAGGCTACATACTGTATGATTTTAATTATATGACATTCTGGAAAAAGCAAAACTGTAGTGACAGTGAAAACAACAGAGATCAGTGGTTAAACAAGGACTCAGAGGGAAGGAGAAGAGAGGGTTGAATAAGTAAATGTAGGGAAATCTTTTAGGGTAGTGAAAGTATTCTGTATGATACTGCAGTGGTAGATACATGACAGTATGCATTTGTCAAAGCCCATAAAACTGGATAGCACAAAAAGAACCCTAAGGTATGCAACCTTTAAAAAACCCATTTAGAAGCTGGGAAACCCCAGGACAGAATGCAGACTGTGACAACAGAATCTAACTGTATTACCAGTGTGTGAAACAACCTCATAGAAGCGGATGGGTGGACAAGGTGCTAAGTAACTTTGTAAATGAGTGCAATATACTTGCATATAAACACTGTATCCTAGTTTATAAAGTTGTTTCCCAGGTACTTATGAGTTAATTAATTCTGATACTTCTATGCATACACACTGGAATTGAACAATTAAGTAAACATATGGCAGAACAGAAGTCGAAGTTTCTTACTGCTAGAGTGGGAATTTATAGAAGAGTAAGGAGAGGAGACTAGAATGAGCCATGCCTGCCTAATCGATCAGAGTTAGAAAATTCCAGGATGAAGTCATGTTCAGCTTAATATAGATAAAGACAGTTATATACTGAAGGATTTCTAGATATGTGTATATAGACAGCTAGTATACATGTATTTCCTTTCTCTGCCAGCTGAAAGTGATTAAAAAAAACAACAACACCTCAGCAGTAAAGAGCACACCTCACATTCAGATCTTAGTGTGTATAATGTTCTCCAATAAAAGAAACCAGGACTCCCTGTAGAAATGGTTAAATTCTAAGACTGGAACAGAACATATACAAGATGAGCCTGAAGTATTACATAGTTCCAGAAAGTGAGAAAGTACACACACAAACCAATCCCAAAGTGATGGGGTATGTCAATAGGACATAGAAGACAAATGAAACAGTTCCCAATGGTCAAAGGCAAAACTACCTGAACAACAAAATTAATTTAATACTATTGGATTATAATCCAAAGTATAAGCAAAACAAAAAATGAATTACTATAATTCAGTGTATTAATAAATAAAGGAGAAAATGTTATCATTTCAATACATTTCATAAAATTCAACATTCATTCGTAATATAATTCTTAGAACATTAGAAATAGAAGGGAACTGTGTACATCTGATGAAGGATATCTACAAAAAAAAAAAAAACCTACTGCAAACATCATACTTCAAAATAACAGAAGCTTTGTTCCTGAGACTGGGAATGAATCTTGTTCCCTCATCATTTCTCTTCAACATTGTACTACAGGTCATAGACAGCACAAAAATGCAAGAAGAAGAAATAAAAGGAATAAACACTAAAAAGGAAAAAATAAAATTGTCCTAATTCACAGATGACATAATTGTATATGAGTCCAAAAAAAAATAAGTGAATTTAGCAAGGTTGCTGCTGGGTAGAAGGCCAGTACATAAAAACCAGTTGTATTTCTCTGTATCCCTCAAGTAATTATATAATTTTTAAAACAAACTTTCTATGTATAAACCAAGTAGCCTCAAAAGTATCATAAACATGTGAATAAATCTAGAAAAGATGTATAAGACCTCAAAACAAAAAACCCTAAAACTTTATTGAGATGTATTAAAGAAGCCCTAAACAGAAAAAGTATACAACTTGTTTAAGAATTGGAAGACTCAAAAAATTGATCCACAGATTCAATGAATTCCCCCCACCCCCCCCAAAAAAAATCTCTCAAGGTTTTTGTTTTTTTTTTTTGATGGAAATTGACAGGCTGATTCGAAAATGTATCCAGAAATGCAAAAGATAAAGGATAACTAACACAATCTTGATAAAAATCAAAATTGGAAGATTTAACCACTGGATATCAAGACTCATTATAAAGTTACATTTGGAATTAGTGAAAATATGTACAAATAGAACAATGGAACGGAAGAGTCCAGAAAAAGACCATGCATATATTGACGCTAGATTTATGACAAAGTTGACGCTGAGTAGCCCTGGAGAAAGGATGGTGTTTTTCAATAAATGGTACCATGTCAACTTAATATCCAGATACAATAAATAAATCTTCACCCCTTGATGTAAATGGTACCTCACATCTTTTACCAAATTAATTCCAGGTTTATTGAAGACCTAAACATAAAATGTAAGACAACCAGGCTTGCTGGAGATCATAGAGGAGAATATCTTTGATCTTCAGGTAGAGAAAGATTTCTTACCTTATGACTGTTAAAATGAACCACCTTAAAATTAGCAACTCTGTTCATCAAAAGACACCTTCAAGAGAGTGGAAAGATAAACCACTGAGAGAAAATGATGCTGTTGATCTATAAAACCAACAAAAAGATTCATATCTAGAATATGTAAAGAATTTCCTTCAAAGCAATAAGAAAAGGAAAAACAATAGAAAACGGGAAAGAGACCTGAACAAGAACTTTACGGAAGAGTAAGCAAGTGAAAAGACATTCAATCTTATTTATCATTAGGAAATTCCAAAGTAAACCCAAAATGTGAAACTCACACAATGCTCTGGAAGGGTAAATTAGTACAATTACTTTAGAAAACTTTATGGCGTTATCTGCTAAAGCTGACATATAAAGGGCCTACGAAATAGGAATACAACTCCAGAGAATATATGTACGAAACAGAGTATGGTATGTACATGTGCACCAAAAGACAGGAACAATATTTGAGATTTTAAATAAAATAGTTCATTTTTTAAATTCCAAAGAAAATACCATGGCATTATATTTTTAAATGACTCATTGTATGGTGTAGGTCTTTTATTAAATTCTCGAGATTATTCCCCAAAGAGGTTCATATAATAAATACTGACAGGTAAATAAATGGTTAAGAATCTTTGCTAGAAAGAGTTAAAAGGCTTCTAAACTATAAGTCTAGTCAATCAGTAAGGCAAAGCCCAATAACACACTTAAAAGAGATCTATTTGTAACTGTTCATGGACACTTCATAGAAGGAAAATATGTAACAATACCTTGAATAATGAATCCTCTGGGACCGAAGCTCCTTTAAAATGAAGTCATTGACATTAAAAACAAAACAGAACAATTCATAAATCAGGTAGAGTTAGTATAATCTTTTCCCCCAGTCAACATTCTAGTAGTTGCCCAGGATACAAAATAACTCCTTACACACTTTCTCTGTATTTATGCATAACTAGAGGTAATAAGGTCAGCAATTTGCAAAATCCTAAATTTAGTAGGTTTTCTATTTTAAGCCCCTAGCTACTGAATTCTGCTTCCCCCTCTCTTTAGGAACACAGTATCTTCCTGTTCCAAGACTCCTCTCCTTTTGCAACATGGTAAAGAACAGGTTATTGAGTATAATTTATATATTCATGCACAGATTTTAGTATTTTTCCATTAATCAATTACTTCTAAATATTTACATTTTTAGGCAGAGGGAATTTCAGGTACTGCCAAATGGGAGATAACTAGAAAAAGAGGAAGTGATCCTGAAATCACGTTATACAAAATATTGGCCAAGAGAATAAGCCTTATTTAACATCTTTCAGGATGACTAGGGGAGAGATGGACATAGGGAAGCAGTAAGAAAGGACTTCCCAAGACCAGCCTTTACTTTCCTGGGAAAGATGAAGTGGGAACTAATCTGGTTGTAACTGCAAAAAAATGTATTCTTAGGTACTGCCACTGGCCAATGTAGTATTGTATTAAGTTCCAGACCCACCTATCTTAATATGATTCTTATAGGGTACCTTTTCCTCCTAAGACATTCTAAAATTTTAATATAAATTGTATCTCCCTCCACAAACTTTGTTTAATTCTTCCAAATGTATATTCCATGTTTCTAGTACATGTAATTTTGTTTTATTTAACACTTTATGGTATCTTTCCTTTCCCTGAAGTCCTGAAACATGTATCAATGTCTCATATTATTTCTACCTCTGATAATGGACTTTCTGACAACAAAGTATGTCCTTGGAACACATCCTCTTCAGTATCAGCAGAATAAGTATTTTGAAGAAGAGTAAGATACAAGTACAGGTTGGATCTGTAGGTGAAGGAGATAATAAAACAGGATAGAAAAAATAAAGGGATAAATAAAAGTGAGAATTGTACAAAAAATGACAGCTACTGTTCCACATTTTCATGAAAGACTTTGCTAAATCTACTATAAAAGTGAAAAACACTAAGACATTAAAAGAAGACAATCTACAAGTTATGCACATTTTAGCACAGTACTTTAGGAAATGAAAAAATAACTTATATTTTAAAAATGATTAATGTTTTCACTTTTAACCCTTATCAAAAGAAATTAAGAGAAAGGAGTCATTACTCCGCTTGTAGCATAGTTTCAACCATTAAGATGGACTCAATACTGCTTCCTAGCATCCTCTCTGGAGTTCTCTCTGCAAGTCAGACCTGTTCAACTAAACTTATTGGGGGAGACGTAGTGAAAAAGGTATACAGTAGCAGTTTATAATTTTTTTTTTTGCAGTTTATGATTTTTAATCTAGCTCAATCTCATTGCGATTAGAGGTCTTAAAGGATGCCTCTGAATGGACTGCCATTGAACTCAGAGTGATTTTTCTTCAGAATGAAGCAAGTACACTGACTTTAATTATTACGGTCCATGGCTAAGAGTTTGTGACGTATCTTGCAACACTACATATTATTTAAAAACCGTGTATCAAAAATAGAGTAGATATGAGGTAAAATTAAGTTTATGAAATTTTCTCAAAAGATATTCGCGGAAATACTGCTCTAAGAGATAGGTAGAAAGGTCTGTAAAAGGGAAAACACAGAAAATTGGGGAGAAAAAGGGGGTACGGGACAAGAATAGAGCTCAGTAGGACTGCTGTGTTCACCTAAAACTGCTCACAAATACAAAATATTCGTGGATAATTTTAGAAAAATAGTCCTGTGTACCTATAATTTCGGAATCAAAATGCCAAGATTGATTTTTTTCGCAGCGAGAGGAAAAAAAAGTAAGTTGTCTAGAAGGTAGAGAAATACGGAAACCCAAGGAAAGGCAAGCAAGGAAAACTCACTACTTTCACCCCTTCCTTCTAGTCAGCGTTTCGGAGTAGGATCTTTCCTTAGCTCATAGGTTCCAACTGAAGGAATCAGTCTGTAACTTCCCAACCCTACCCCTAAACTGAGAGAATTCGCTGCCACGATTCTTATTTCGCTGTTTATCATAAGGCTGTACCAGCTGGGTATATAGGCAAGGCAATATCTAGGACTCCCCTCCCTCCAATTGATTTAAAAGGATGAAAAGGCAGACCTGGTCATCCGCTCCCGCCCGTGGTCTCGGTAAGGGCAGCGGGGAGAGGCTTCCCCTGCTTAATCTGGGGCGCACTCTCACCAGCCTCCCCAGCAGCAGCCAAGCAAAGAAGAGGGCCCCGAAGGCCTCTGGCCCCGCACAGCAGGAAGAGGGGGAGGTAGCATATGCGACCAGAGATAGCCACCGGGACCCAGCCTTCAGCAGCGAGTCACTGCGACCGGACGCTTGCACCTGGGCGCACCCCTCGAGTCGACCGTTTGTATTTAAACAGTGGGTCGAAGCCCGCCACGCGCCGCGGGAAGACCTTACAAGCTGCCGGCTCCTCGGTGCTTCACGATTCCTCGCTGCAGATTCCACACCACGTTTGTCCAGACCACTGTGGAGACTGACTCTGCGGAGAGGTTTTTCAACGGCCTGTCCGATCCCAAGTTGCAGAATAAAAGTTTGTCTAGTGTTGATGTTTAGAGTGGCTCGGTGTGCTATGTGAGAAACAGGGAATCTATAGCGAATCGTAAACACCGGAAATAAAAATGCTTCTTCTCTAGGGCTTAGAACCCTAACGTCACTTCCGGCAACAATAGGAAACGTCAAAAGTCGGACAGTCGGCAGCTCTGGCTGCTGCAGCTTGACGTGTGCTCAGTTCAGAGGGCTCCTGTGCTGCTTCTGGTATTCTCACTGCTGATACCTCCACCGGCGTGAACAAGTAAAAGTTTGAACCGGCTTCTCCATGGCCTGGGCACCAGTTCCTGGCTGAGCCTTTTTTTTTTTTTTACTAAAAGCCCCCGCCCAGAGGCCGATTCGTCGCGGCGGCGGTGGGGATCGCAGGTCGCTCAGGTACAAGAGATTTCAGAGCTCTTGCCTCTTTTCTCTGCATACCCTTTTCTTCTCGAAAATAAAGACAACCGGTGTTTGCCAGTTGGCAGAAACTTGCCAACCAGCAAGACTTTGGGGCCAATGGCAGTGCAGAGCACTTTGAGTGACAGCTGTAATGGCTTGTTAAAATGTGGAATCTGTATCAGGAGGCGGGAGTAGGTGTGTTCCTTGTGTTTCTAGGCCATGGAGTATATAGGTTAACTTGGGACCCCAGGTGGTGTCCTAGCCTCATTATGGAATAAAGACGAGAAATGGCAAAGATTACTCTTTTCTAGCCCAAGTGTTGCTTTTCAGGTAGAGTGTTTTCTTGATGCATAGGCAGTTTTCAGTTCTTTACTTACTTTTCAGTAATATGAATGCAAACACTTTTACTTAAGGACATGATGGCTTTGCCAGGTGCTTCAGCCATCAAACTTGTGTTAGAAATTTGGCAAATTCTTAATTTGTCTCTTGTTTGTTTCTTTGTAACTGGTCTCTGCTCTCTTCTATGTTGGGTGTTCCAATTTAATATTAGATGAAGTTACATAAATTCGAATCCTCATTGAAATTTTTTGTTTTTATTTTTAGATTCTGTATATAGTTAGTAATTTAATAACTGAGTCTACTTATTTTAACAAATTGAATTTTTATTTTCAAGGATCCTAGATGTTTCTCTCCAAATCAGTATATGATGATCTTTATTATTGCAAAGTGAAGCTAATTTATGTTTTTCATTTCTGCTTTCCTTGTCCTTTTAATATTTGGAGTATGGTAACCATATTTATGAGATAGGAGGGTTTTTACCCCCTAAGAAAATGGCTTACAAAATTGAGCAGATCTGAGAATGAAGGAAAAATTTTATTCTCTTTTTCCAGTTGAGTAGGAAACTTCCCATTTTTAGCCAGTTAATTTGATAATTTGTCTGAGGTACCGTGTTAGTTATCAATTGCTGAGTAACAAATTCATCCAAAATTTAGCAGCTTAAACCAATAAATGTTTATTATCTCACAGTTTCTGTGGGTCAGAAATTTGGTTACAGCTTAGCAAAGAGCCTCTGACCCAAGGTCTTTCATGAGTTTGTAGTCAAGCTACAGTTGGGGGCTGTGATCTCATCTGAAGGTTTCACTGAGGGGTAGGAGGATCTGCTTCCAAGTACACTCATATGGTGGTTGGTAGGCCTAGGTTCTCCACACATGGGCTTTTCACACAGTGTGGTAGCTGCTTTCGCATAGGGTGAGCAATAGAGAGTACCCAAGACTGCCCATAGTCTCTTATAACCTAATCTCAGAAGTGGTATCTCACCACTACTGCCATTGTATTAGAAGTGAGTAGTAAATCCAACCAGAAGTCTTTGGGGGCTATCCTCTAGACTGCCTAACCCAGCTTGGCTGATAACTTTTAAGAGTTACTAGATAGGAATAACTGATCAAAAATGCATCAAAGAAAAATGTAGTCAGACAAGAAGCAATGCCAACTTGTAAAGAAATAAGTTTGTACAAGCATTATCTCTCCTGGAAAAAAGTTTTTGTTTTTTGTCTTTTTTTCCCCCTACTAATTATCTGAAGAGGGGTTTACTATTTTACTTGGAAATTATGCCTCATGAGGGATTATGTGCATGAGAGGAATGTTTGTATTTTTAGGGTCTCCATGAGCAAAGCATATCACAAGTGGAGATTGTGTATTCCTTACCCATTGCCATTTTATAAGGTTGACACTGTACCAAAATTAACATGAGCAAAGATAGCTCTTAAGGAGGAAAGAGGTTAGAAAAGCTAGAGGTAATGCTTTTCTAGTATAGAAAGAATGCAAGTCAGTGGCAGTCTTTATGTTGGTGTGAGATCAAGTAAGGATGGAAGAGGTATATCTTAGAATAGACGTGTTTTTCATGTCTGTTTTCATCATTATTCTTAGGTGGCACGTACCACCTTAAATCAGCATTCCCTGGCTGTCCATCATCAGCATAGCTTTTGTCAGGGAATCACATAACCTTACAAACTAAAGGTACAGGCTTTCAGGACTTGTTGTGACACTATTTTGGCTGTGATCTACAGTAAAACTGCATATGCTTCTTCCAGGTTTGAAAGATGTTGTAAAGCCTTACCTGTTAGTAAAGTATTATTCAGGTTTATCTTTTATAACTTAAGTGCTTAACACCAGCCTGCATGTGTCAATTCTCAAATTATAAGTTTGGCTTTTAAATTGAGATTCCCTGTCAGGTTTACATATTTCATTTATAGGTTACAGCCAGTTAACGAATGTGATTTTGGGCCCTTATATAGTTGCAAAATTTTAAACAGATGCTTGAGAAAATAACACAGTTGAAACACTTCCATCCACAATACCTTATGATAATAACTGCTAAATAAGCTAAAACACACATTATAATTTATTATATATGATCAGTTTAATAGGGAATTTTTGTGTTTACTGTGCTTTTGTGTAGATTAAAAGACATTTCCTCTTTTCACAATATAAAACCATTGATTTACTTAGAGATTATCTTCTTTGATCACAGTGCATTGAAGTTAGTCATTCAAACTTATGATTTTAGTTTACTACTTATCCAAGTGCTATATACAACTGTTTTTTCTACATTTTGATTCAAATTTGGAAACGGAGGTTAATCCTTTTTCTGGCCTGTGATTAATGCATCAGAATCATTAATACTGAAGTCTGTGAAACATACATCTAACTCATTGCTTTCTCATTGAATTATTTTACTATTTTAAAACAACTTTAATGAAATATATCTACTTCTAGGAATTTGTATTCCCTGTTTCTTTTTTTCTCATTTTGTTTTTCTGACAAATTTATTGGTATATATTCTATAATAAAACTAAAACATCCTGACTTGAATAAGTTTACATTGTATTTGGGACAAATACTTTAGTGACACAGAGATGATAAAAGTTATCTGTGGTTTCAAGTTTAGGCATTAGGTTTAGTCATGAACATAGGGAAAAAGAGACAGAAAGAACAGATGCTTATACACAGACATACACACACATACACACACATACACCCCTCCATCACCTCTTCATTTTATTTATTTATTTTTAGGATTTTTTTTTTCTCATTTAATTTTTATAGAATCATAGAACTTTACAGTTAAAAGAGACCTTAGGGATTGATTGTTAGGTTCAAAACCCTTGTTTTACAGGTGAGGAAACTGAGACATAGAAATTTAAGTGACTTTTTCAATACAGTTAATAAAGAGAGGGAACCTGAATCAAATCTAGGTTTTGTGTCTGTCTCTTCATTACTAGATATTTTCTCATCTCATTTCTGACTTTCCTTATATTCAGGCCTCCCTCAATATTTTAATATCTTGTTTTATTTGTCTAAAAGCTGTTCAGTGAGAATTATAGTTTTTGTTTTGCTTTGTTTTTTAATTCCTCAACTCTCATAGGGATGGCCATTTTCTTTAGTGAGCATGGAGTGTGGTGTGCCCCAAGGAGGTGGGTTGAAATATGCTGCTGTGGCAGTTGTTGATTACCAGGGGTTTGAGTAAATAGTGCAATTAAGTAAGAACCAGTGTAAGTAACAATAATGCTGGTAAGAAGTATAATTGTTTTTACTTTAAAAGTTAAAGCAGGTGAGAAGTATGATAAATTTATTTAAAGATTAAAACAGTGGGGGCATTTGTTGCAAAACAAGCCCCCGCAAAATAAATAAGACTAAAATTCTCAGCTTATTTGATTACATTTAAATGACACATTTTAATTTTTGCATTTGTTTAAATTCCATTTGGTAACACTCATTATAGAATCAAATTAAAGAACTGGAAAAAAACTTCAGAAAGTAATATTGTAAATCTTTTTGAATTAAAAAAAATATATACAAATGGTATGCTTTTTAGTAACACAAACCGTTCTTGCAGGACCAGATCTTTAAATTTAATGAGTGGGGTTTTTTTTATGTGTTTAATGTACCTTGTGACCTCTTAGTACTTAGCTATTTCCCTTTTCTCCTTAGAAAGACCTCCTTGTGGGCTTACCCTTCCTTCTTTCTCTACAGTTGTTGCCATTCAGTTTTAGGGGTGTGATTGGTTATCATGTTTTTTTCTTTTCCCTTTTTTCCTCTTTTTTTAAATTTCTCCACCTAGTGTGTTCTAAACTACTTTGGTGGTCTATTCTTTTGGAAGTAGAGAAATAAATGCTGGACTGCCCATTTGATTCTAAATGTATTGTGGAAAATATTTTCTCACAGAATTTCTCATGTTCTTATGTCACTGAGTAATATCACATCATTTAAAGATTTTTAGAACCTAAAATAATCAATCTAGTTGTTACTTTCTAATTGAAAAATATTGAAAATCTCTAAAAAGATAAAAGTAAGTGAATTTTCTTATCTTTAAGTCTTAATAAAATTAGCATTTTAGACATAACACTTCTGGCACACATTTTAGATCTTTATCTGAGATAAGAAATTTCTTATTTCTAAATTCCACTCTTCAGATGTTTAGGAATTACTGAAGAAAACTAACTTTTTATAATGAGTTATTTTAATTAGATAATTATTTGTCAGTCCTCCCATACCAGTGATTTAACAGTGTTTGCTCAGGAAGAGACTTACGGAAGTAGTTTGCTTCAAACAAAAGTATTTAAACAAGAATGCTTTTTTGATCCCACAGACTCATTTCTATTTTTCCCATCTTCCAAGTGTATTTTCTACTTAAGTGGTATGTAAACCATTCTTTATTACGTAGAGTCATCTCCACAGCATGTGCTCTTTGAATGCTTGGTGCCATGGAATTACTAAAAGCACTAGTGCAGTTACCTTTTTCTTATAGAATAGTATTTTATTTGATGTTTAATTTGTTACCTAGAGACATTTTGATTAAAGTTGCTTCACAGTTTACAGATAAGCTTTATACTAGATATACCAACAGCTATTAATAAATCCTATCTCATGTTTTTGTGGAAATACTCTACTCTTGAAAAGAGAACAAGACATTACAAATACAGTCAAAAGTACTATCTATTTTAGAAACATAGCCATCTACTGGTTAAAAAAGTGTTATGGTTCTGGGGCGCCTATGTGGCTCAGTCGTTAAGCATCTGCCTTCTGCTCAGGTCATGATCCCAGGGTCCTGGGATCCAGCCTCGCATCGGGCTCCCTGCTTGGCGGGAAGCCTGCTTCTCCATCTCCCACTCCCCCTGCTTGTGTTCCCTCTCTCGCTGTGTCTCTCTCTGTCAAATAAATAAATAAAATCTTCAAAAAAAAAAAGTGTTATGGTTCTTATAAACTTTAATAAATTGGTAACTAGTATAGTTGTTGATTAATTTACACTGATTTTAGGTGGAAGTATCATTGTGCTATGTTATACCCTCAGATTAATTTTGTCTAAAATTGTATTTCACTTTTTAAAAATGAAAATACTACCTCCAAAATCATGTCAGAAAAGTATTGCTGTTTCTTGGATTTTGGCATTAGGAAAAAAAGTTGAGTCAGGACCTACATACTGCTTTACTAATTAAAAGATGCTTTTAGGGGCGCCTGGGTGGCTCAGTTGGTTAAGCGACTGCCTTCGGCTCAGGTCATGATCCCGGAGTCCCAGGATCGAGTCCCGCATCAGGCTCCCTGCTCAGCAGGGAGTCTGCTTCTCCCTCTGACCTCCTCCCTCTCATGCTCTCTGTGTCTCATTCTCTCTCTCGCAAATAAATAAAATCTTAAAAAAAAAAATTAAAAAAAAAGATGCTTTTAGATATGTTATCTCAGTTAAGACTTACAGCAATCTTGTAAAATAGACAGGAGTAATTTCCCCCCATTTTATAGGAATCAGAAGCTCACAGACCTTGCTTGAACTATCTAAGGTCACATAGCATATGGCATAATTGGAGCTGTAACTTTAAATTCCCCCTCCAGAGTAGCAGTGTCAAGAAAACTTACACATTTTTCTCAAGCAGACATCATATAGCCTACATTCCCTAATCTCAGCATAGTAAAACTAGAAATAAATTTTAAAAGTCAAAGAGGCCTGAATACCTATTTTTAAAAATAGACTCTTCCAAATAATTATTACATCGATGCACAATAGAAGTTATTATTATTAATGTTGCTGTTATTTTAATAGAAACCAGGATATATAAGACTTTAGGAGATTTAAACAAACTCTGATTTTTAAAATATTTTTAATAAATAAAATCATTTCTATATGTTAGAAATGATTATTTTAGCAATCCAAATTTACATTAGTTTATGTACTTTGATTTTTAATGAGGTAACTATATGAATTTTTAATGTATTTTGCATTTACATTTTTATGAGATCAAGGGGAAGGCACACAAATACCAATTCTTTAGCATTTATACCTTTACCCAATTATTGATACAGACTATGTAAATAGTTAAAACATAGGATTTGTATCCTTAAGGATTTGTATTCCTTGATCATGTCTTCTTTTGACCTATATGGTAAATTCCATGAAGTCAGAGAGGATTCCTAGGTTTTTATTTTTTTTAATTTTTTAATTTTTAAAAATTTTTTAAAGATTTGTTTATTTTAGAGAGAGAGCATGAGCAGGGGAAAGGGCAGAGGGAAAGGGAGAGAGAACCTTAAGTAGACTCCCAGCTGAGCCGCAGAGCCCTACTTGGCTCTCAGGACCCTGAGATCATGACCTGAGCTGAAATCAAGAGTCAGCGCTCAACCGACTGAGCCACCCAGGCACCCCTGATTCTTTTTTTAAAGCAGTTTATTCAGGTATGATTCCCATACCATAAAATTCCCCCATTTTAAGTGTACAATTTTGTTCCCCCTTTTTTGAGGTTATTGTGGATGAACATGCAGTTTCAAGAAATACAGAGAGATCTCTTGTACTCTACCTAGTTTCCATGGATGGTAACATTTTGCAAAACTGTAATGTACTATCACAACTCAGACATTGACATTAATACAGTTCATCTTTTTTATTCATATTCCCCCAGTTTTATTTTTACTCCCATGTGTAAATGGGTGTATGAAATTCTGCACAGGTTCACATATCTGGCACCACACTCGAGATACTTTAAACAGCTTAGACACCACAGGGATCCCTCATGCTACCTTTTTATGATTAGACCCACTTCCCTCCTGGGTAATGATGGTGAACATGTTACCACATGCTTATGTGCCATTTATTATATCCTCTTTGGTGAAATATCTGTTCATGTCTTTTGTCCCCTTTTTAATTGAAATTTTTGATTTCTTTACTTGATTTTTTTTTT